AAATACACCAGTATCTTTTCATCTCTCTTCATATATATATATATATATATATATATATATATAATAAAATATAAATGTAAAAAAAATATCAATAAGTTCAACATATAAATTAAAAAGTGTAAATATAATATTTGTAAACATATATTTATAATTTAATTAAGTGAGGAAGTGCATCTCTCTACCCTCACTATAACGTAGATTCATCATTAAATATACATATAAGAGAAAAATCATAGAGAAAAAAAAAATTTGTAAGTTCAATAATTTTAAAATAAAAACTTGCATTGAAATAAGAATTATGTGAATTATTTAATTACAATTGAGGTAGCATCTATAGATTAAAAAAAATGTAAAATGAATTGCTTATTTTTAGAACATTGATGATAAAATTGAACAATTTTTGAAAAAATGCGGTGATATTTGCTCCATGTCACAATAAATGATTCAATTAATAAATAACATGCAGAGTTAGAGTAGGGTATATTTTAATTTATAAAAAGAGATTATTTGTTATATACTCGTCATGATATTATTTATTAATTGAATAGTGTAGGGTCTAAAAGAATAAGTACACTATATGGAAAAAAATATTTAAGTCTGGAAAATAAAATTGTTTTTATATTTTATTTTTTATTGGAATATTTTATTTATTTTGTAACATTTTAAGGACATTTAACAAAAATTTGAAAGAAATATTGATATGATGGTTGAAAATTAAGAAAATCACTATAATTCTGATTTTTCAAAGCCACTGAATTCATTTCCTACTTAAAATGGGGACGAAAGTTTGAAAATTTTAAAAACACATCATTGAAGATTGATGACTCTTTTATGTTCTAGTTGCGGATTTTAATGTTTACTTACACAATGACTAGGTTGTTATTTTTTTTATGTCCATCTCTTTTCATTGTTGCAAATCGGTTAACATTAATTTAGTTAACAATAACTTATAAATAGTTGTTTAACAAACACTAAACCCCTCTATTAACAATGACTTGTTATGCCTAGTAATAACTCATAACTATCACTTATTTACATATTTGTTATAATGACAACTTTTTTCTTTTAAATATAAAAATATCTCTTAATTTTGTTTATCATGTGTCTACAGTCACACTAAAATGTAAAAATTTTCGCACAAAAGTGAGAAAATTTTATGTTATCTTTTTAATAATAAAAAGCATAATTTTTTTAAAACATTTTTCAACGTCAATTATATTGTTAGATAATATTTTTGCAAGTCTTACTAAATAGAACGAGAGTTGCACGTTAGATCATACATAAATTTCATTTAATAATAAGATACTTTTTAAAGATGTTATTGATAATTTTTATTTAAAAAAATGATATTGAGTGATTTAATCATGTTAAATCTTATGCTAAATACATTCTCAACGTTTTAATAATTATGTGTATGATTAGATATCAATTTAAAAACAATGTTAAAAAACACACGTTTTAATAAATAAAAAAACACAAAAAATTGTAAATATAATTTTTTTAATTTCAATTAAAATGAACTAGGTCTCAAATAGTAGTTAATGTATTTATCTTTTTCCAGACACACGAAAAGAGAGAAATGAATGTAAAACAAAAAATCGTAATAATTCAAAAATTTAAAAATGTAATTAATGAGTGGCATACAAGGCATTAGTTAACCCCAAGCGTGTAGTTCAACAGTAAGGGTTGATTCACGCTTAAATAAGGTCAGGAGTTCGAATCCTGCATTGTGTATGCAGCCACGGTGGATACTTCATGGAGAAACCAAAAATAAAAATAAAAATACAAGGCATTAGTTAACCCTTTATTTTTATGTCTCGTCTGTGCTGAAGAATGATGATATTGTTGCCCCATTTTACTTTTACCCTCTTCCTCTCTTTCTTCCCTCTGTCTTTGCGGTGATTCTGTCCCTTACTTTTTGTGATTCTCTATTTTGTTCTCTTCTCAATTCTCAATTCTCAATTCTCAATTTCTCATTCCACATTCATTCATTCATAATCCACAATTCATTTACCTCTCTCACTCCCAACTCCAAAAATCTTGCCTCGAAATCGCTCATCCATTTTCACTTTACGTAAGCCACCCTAAGTAGGGCTACCCCTATCAACCTTTTTGTCCCACCAAAATAAGTATTCAAAAATAACCAAATATCATATATAATGTTTTTTTTTTTTTACAATAATCACACTAAGTACCACATCCTTCGTAACTAGCTCTGTCGCATTGCACAAAAACTTAGATACTATGATATACAATATTTGTAGGTGAAGTTTCATTTCTAATACCAACAACACTTATAATATTATGCAAATTTTATATAAATATATAAAAATAAAATTTAACTTGTTAATTTTTAAAGTTTTTTTTATTATTATTTTAACAAAATAAAGTTCATTAGATATTTTTTTTTATACTTATTTCACTGTTTTTTAAAATAAACTCTCGCACCGTAATTTTTATTTGATAAGTGATTAATCTAGTATCTAGGCGGTCATATATGTGGCAAGAGAAGTTAGGAATTAGAAAATTTATTAGATTAGAAAGAAATGCAGTTCGCTTGTTTAATCGGTTCCACAATGTGTACTAAAGTAAAATAATTTGTATAATATAATATAATTGAGTTCACTGTGCAGGATTGTAGTGTAAACTGAAGATTAAGATGGAGGGTTGGGTGGTGATGTAGTTGTAGCTGCGGTTGTAATGACATTAACTTAACATGTGGCGTCGTTTATTCATTCTCTTGAATCGAGGAAAGTAGGGAGCAATTCTGAGCATAGTGCCATTCATGGAGGGATCCATCTTGTTTTTGCTTCATCAAAATGTTCCCTCTCCATCCATTTTCCAAATCTAGCATTCATCAAACAACATTTCTCTCTTCACCTCCACAACACTTCTCTCTCTTCTCATTTCACCTATGCAACTTACTCCATCTTTATGCTAACCGTTAAAGTTTTACTTCTTGTTCTTTGACTAGCTTCCCTTTTCTCTCTCTCTTTCTCTCTGAACTTGGTTTGCTTCTGTCTCATAGAAATCAGGTTGGTCTTCTCTGCTACTCACTCTCTCTCTCTCTCTCTCTTTTTCAACAGCTGTTCTTAAATATACTAATTTTGGTGGGGTTCCTGTTTTGAACTCACCTTGGAGTTTAACTGAATTGTTATGTACTCAAGTATTGATTTTTTTTTTTTTAATTTCTTTCTAGTACTGGTAATGATCTTTGTCAGGTACAAGGTCTTTAATGGTTCTTCAGGTGGTTGTGATTCTTCTATTTCTTCTTCTGTTTTCAGACCCAGATCTCGGTTTTACCCACCCACTATTGCTGCTTCTGTAAAGTCTTCAAATTTTTATTGATTCTAGGCTTGTCAATTTCTTGCTTTAAACGGGTCGTTTACAATTTTTTTTTTTTTTTTGTATTTTCTCTTCCCTCCTTTCTCTTGTTGTTTCATTCCAAAATTTGTTGAAATGAACTAGTTACAGCTTTATGTTCGGTCAGTGCTGCAGGGCATGATTAGTTTTGTATTCTGCAACAGCTTTGGGTGTGCTTAATTGTTGTTTGTGGTTGAGGAATTACTGAGATTCACCCAAATGTACTGAATTCTATGATATCTCTTGGCACAAATTCATAAACAATTGTTAGATCTGGCTGGAATATGCTGCTGACTGTTCTGAAAGACATACCTAATACCATGTTTCAAAAACTTATGTTTTGATTATCCTCAATTCCTTTGGCACATCCCCTTGTTCAAGGAGTAGTGTTTCTCTCTTGATCTTCTCCCTCTCTCTGTGCTAATGTCCCATTTACTTGCGTTACTCTTCAGATTATTAACCTTCTCCGGCATATGACATTGGTAGTCTTCATCTCTGGTTTAATAATATTCTTACTTGTAAAAGATTTGTTCATTTTCTTTAGTTCTTACCTTTTGATGCTCTGGTGTAATCTCTAAGTTGGTCTGTGAAACTCTTGTATATATATGCCTTGCTTCCATTTTTTGTTACGTTGTTGAAAGATTACATTAACTTGAGCTGATTTTCTGGTCACATGGAATCAACTTAAAAGAATTCCTAGGCTTTTGAGCTTTTAATTGAGAGTGATAAGTTGGATGCAGGGTTTATCGGCTAGATTGCCACCATGATAAAGCAAATTCTTAGCAAATTGCCAAAGAAGGTGCCAAAATCCGACTCATCAGATTCTGCAAGGAGTGACTCTAGCAATACTACTAGTTTTGGGAATGTATTTCAGTGTACAAATGTCGGAAGCACCATTTCAAGCAAATTAAATGTTGTGAAGAGGGTATCTTCCGTTGTTTTCCCTGCAAGCATGAGTGCTGGAGTGGAAGCAGTTGACCCCTGTCTGTCTTTCAAAGATGTTTCAAATACACAGAAGCAAAGCCTGTTCATTAGTAAGTTAAATCTTTGCTGCAAAGTTTATGATATGAGTGATCCTGATAAGAACAGTACAGAGCAAGATCTCAAACGACAAACGTTGTTGGAGCTTGTTGATTTTGTTTCTTCTGGATCGGTTAAGTTCACAGAGCCGGCAATTGCTGCATTGTGTAAAATGTGTGCAGCTAATTTGTTCAGGGTTTTCCCACCTAAGTTTCGGACAAGTACCACGGGTGGAGAAACAGAAGATGAAGAACCTATGTTTGATCCTGCCTGGTCTCACCTACAAGTTGTTTATGATCTACTCCTTCAATTCATCAATTATAACTCCCTTGATGTGAAGTTGGCAAAAGTGCATATAGATCATGCCTTTATTTTAAGATTACTTGACCTTTTTGATTCTGAGGACCCTAGAGAAAGAGATTGCTTGAAAACAATCCTGCATAGAATCTATGGGAAATTCATGGTTCATAGGCCTTTCATTCGGAAATCCGTTAGCAACATCATCTACCGGTTTGTTTTTGAGACTGAGCGGCATAATGGAATCGCTGAGCTGTTGGAGATTTTTGGGAGTGTTATTAGTGGTTTTGCTTTGCCATTGAAGGAAGAGCATAAAATATTTTTGTGTAGGGCTTTAATTCCTTTGCACAAACCTAAATCTGTTGGCATTTATCATCAACAGTTAACATATTGTGTTGTACAGTTCATAGACAAGGATCAAAGACTGGCTAGCACTGTGATAAAGGGACTATTGAAGTATTGGCCAGTAACAAATAGCCAGAAGGAGCTAATGTTGATAAGTGAGTTGGAAGAGATTTTGGAAATGACTAGCATGGCTGAGTTCCAGAAGATCATGGTCCCGCTGTTTCGACGAATGGCTTGCTGCCTTAATAGTTCTCATTATCAGGTAGATTAACGTCTTGATTGGATAAACTTTTCATAAACAAATAATAAGAAGTTAACGTCTGTTTAGAGAGACAAATTAGAAGAGTTTTTTTAGTAGAAAACAAATTTAGAAAAGTTTTGGAGATCTTGTGTACTGGAATAATCTCTTTATTATCATCAGTACATAAGTTCTAAAAACTCTTTTAAGCATGAATCAGATAAGGTTCTTTGGTTCTTTTCATTTAACTTCTTCAAAGTTGATTTTAACTCGTGAAGAAACTTGGTGCATCTTAGTAAGTTGTTATAGAGAAGTTTATCCGAAGAGGGTGTATATGATTTTATAATGTAATTGACTATAGCATTACAAGAGTGAGTTGAATAATGTCTTTTGGTGATGTGCCATATATTGATGTGTTGAATTATTGATTCAGGTGGCTGAGCGAGCTCATTTGCTATGGAACAATGAGCACATCCTGAATCTGATAACGCAAAACCGACAGGTGATACTGCCTCTAGTGTTCTCAGCCATTGTACATAATGCAGAAAGTCACTGGAACCAAGCAGTGCTGAACCTGACTCAGAACATAAGGAAGATGCTGTCTCAGATGGACGAGGAGCTGGTGGATGCATGCCAACGCAGGATTGAGGAAGAAGATTCAAGTGCAAGTGCTGCAGCAGAGAAGAGAAGACTAACATGGGAACGCCTAGAAGCTGCTGCTGCTGCTACTGTTACTGCTACTTCTAGTGTCCAATATGAAGGTGGTGGTGATGTTTTAGTCCCAGTAAAATCTGCTACATGCTCAGTGGCATGCTAATTACTAGTGGTGGTGTGGTTCTTGAGTTTTATAATTTGGCAATAGGGTATGTATACAAATGGTACCCTTACCTTACCCTCACTCAAATTGTGCTGAGTAGTAGGTGATATTATTATTATTATTATTATTTTATAGTATTGTTGTGGGGGTGTGTGTGTCGGTGGCTTATTCGTGCGTGCAATTATTTGCAGTGTCAGCACCGTAACCCTGACTCTTTAATCAGTTTTCTTACCCTATGGACCCCACCTTAGTCCCTTCCCCTGCGGTGTCATTGCCCATATCATATCATATCATATCTGCATCTCCCTATGTGCCAACTCAAAAGTTTCATTCCTTGTCTATTTTTTACCTGCTTCAATGGTAAAACAAATAGTTACTGGAATGGAAGCATATTTGGTTTATAAAGGAACTGGTTTCCTATTCCAATTTGGTTTCTTTGTGTATTACTTTTATCAACTCAATTCATTTTCAAATTGTTTTTTAGTGAAATATTTATTAACTTTCTTGATAAATTAATCATTATTAATGGAAGTTTTTAATCACTTTTTTCATTTATAATATTGGATTGGAGATCTTATTTAAGAAAATTGAATCATTAATTAAAACATTTGTTATATCAATTAATTTATAAGTTTATATCTTTGACCTTTAAATTACTTTTATCTTAAATTTAATATTTTTTATAAAATATGAAATTCACTAATTTTATTGATGGGATATTTTATTTGGGATTATGTATGGAAAAGTTTAGATAAATTATTTATTCTTAGCAAAGGAATTTTCTAGCTGGTATTTATTTATATTTTAAAAGGTTTTACTCAATAAAAATTCTACTTATTTTAAAGTTAAATCAAACATAAAGTTTTATACATATTCATTTTATGATATTTATCAATTTAGTAGTTAAATTGATAAAATTTAATAACTTTCAAAAAATTTAAACAAAGTGAGTTATAATAAATGAGTCACCCACTTGCACACACTTAACACGGGCAAAGATTGACCTTTTTTAAGGGGAATGATGTAAACCTCTACTTTAACATAGGCAAAGTTAAAACGAGATTGTAAGACAAATTTTTTATTTTAAGACGTGTTTAGTTTTAATATTCTTTTTAATACATAATTCTAAAATAGTGAACATGTCTTTCTAAAAATATTTATTAGAAGTTAGTAAATACAAATGGTTTTTAATCTCTCTATATTATGTTTAAATTTTTTTAAATATATAAAATGAGATGGTGGTTAATCTAGAGGGTGTTTCGACCTTAACTATTACGTTTTTTAAATTTAAGATTGGTGGATAAGTGTATTGTCACAATTTTTGATTGTGATGATTAGATTAAGAAAAATAGTTCAATTTAGTTTATATGCGTTTTAGACTCGAGATTAGTATTTAGTGGACAAACATATCATTTCGATCTCTAATTAAAAAGATTAGACTGAAATTTGATTAAAAGAGTATAATCGAGTAAGTCTTGATCTCTAACTAAAAAGGTTAGACTGAAATTTGACTAAAAGAGTATAATTGAGTAAGTCGACTTTAAGAATAAGTTGACATGAATTTGATATATAAATAATGATACAAAATTTAGTTATTTAATATTTCAAAATATAATATTTACTAGTATTGGGAAAAACCCAAGTCCCACATCGACTAGAGATTAGGCAATTGAATAATATATAAGTGGAAAGCAACCCTCACCTTACAAGCCGGTTTTGTAGGGTTGAGTTAGGCTTCAATCCACTATTCTAACATGGTATCAGAGTCATTTAGATCCACTTTAAAAATGGGCCACCCACCATTGATGCATGCCTCATAGGTGTGAATGGGGTGTATTGGGAAAAACCCAAATGGGCCACCCACCATTGATGCATGCCTCATAGGTGTGAATGGGGTGTATTGGGAAAAACCCAAGTCCCGCCAATCCTAGATCATTAAAAAGGGTCACCCACCATTTATCCACGTACCAAGCCCAATAGTGCTGGACGTGAGAGGGGTGTATTGGGAAAAACCCAAGTCCCACATCGACTAGAGATTAGGCAATTGAATAATATATAAGTGGAAAGCAACCCTCACCTTACAAGCCGGTTTTGTAAGGTTGAGTTAGGCTTCAATCCACTATTCTAACAACTAGTAAATAAACTATCACAAAATTTTAAAATTTTTAGGATTTATAAAAATATAATAACTAGATATACAATCCTTTTATTAAAGGGAAGATATAATTTTTTTTTTTTTGAATATTCTACTTTTAGATGGAGATTGAGTGATCTCTAATATGTTCTTTAGACCGGAACAATAATAAAATAAAATATTTATAATAATTATTTTAAAAAAATGAAATCTGTCACGGCAAACAACATATTACGTGGTTAATAGGATATCTTTATATCTTATTCTTACCTACTGCAGCCGCCCTCTAAAGTTTACTTTAGATTTAATGCATTCACTCACCTGGTATCAGACCCTTCGTTTCTTATTTTCGCTTCTTTGGAATAATCAATATTAATAATTAATGTCATAACTTTTGCACCATAGATAAATGACCTTGAGGATTGATTCATACTTTTCCTTGTGCTATAGACACAACAAATGATAAAAAGAGATAAATTTGAAATGTAATAGTAATGAGATAAGGAAAAACAAGGGACAATAAATTATGTAAAAATTGTTATGTGTATCATTACTTTTAAGGAGATGGGTTTAATACACTTAGACATTGGACAAATAAAAAAAAACACATGAGAGAAATTAGTTGAGAGTTTAAAGCTTTATGAATTACTAATAAGTTTAACTCAATTACTTGAATAAGATGCATGAGTTATTAATTTTTTAATATTGAGTTTGATTTCGATAGATTAAAAAGAAGTTGAAGCTATCAAACATTTAAATTTGAAATAATATTTTTTAATAGTCATATTAGATATAAAAAGAAAAATAAATTATCACCCATAATAATTTTATCTAATTTAAATAAGATTGTCTTCCATTAAAAAAATATCATTCATATAGTAATCATATTTAAATACACATATGATTGTGACCCATAAAAAAATTATACGTGATTTGTGAAAAAAAATATAAAATAATATATATATATATATATATATATATTAAT